TATATATAGACACATAGATGCATGCACTCACATGTTGTGGTCCCCGAGCCAGCACATTCACATGTACCTACAACTTTCCCTCTTTCTCTCACACTCTCACATTTTCTCTCTCATATTTACACAGAGGCGAGGTGCTGCCCACAGCAGTGTGCGGCCAGCCTCTGTGCTTTGTTGGCTGCTCTGTGTGCTTGTTCAACAAGTCTTATTAATGACACTAATACAGGCCTGTTTCCTCCACTGTGTCTGAGCAGTGGCTCTCATACTGGGCTCTTTGACACACTATACCTGGCCGTGGGCGTGTGAAATTACATTTGGACAGTTGCTGTTATGAAACAGCTTGGCTCTCGTTTTCAGTCTGTATTTCTTATTATTGATGATACAGAGTCATGTCAGGCTGTGCTGAGTGTCTGTTGTTTTGACCCTTGAGCTGCCTTTGAGGGTCGGAAATGACATCCAGAAACCTGACAAATCGGTGAAGTGTTTGTCTGAGACAGGTCTTTACCTCAGCCTGTTCACACAGTCTTGGTCTGCTTCGAGTAGAACAATGACTTAAGAAACCAAAATGACTTTGATCATTTCAATGCTGTTGTCTGTTTTTCCCTTTTATAATGCGGTAACCTGTTTCCAAATCTGATTTGTTGCTTATAATTGATGGATATCAATAATGCAGTAGGTTGTGAAATATTTTAGCAGTTTATTTTTTTGTTTTACTCTCTCATGATAATATCCAGCTAGTATCTTGAACATCCGATAGTATCTGTTATTGTTGCGGGAGAAATGGTGATGTAAAATTTTTCAGAAGAATTTCCTTGAGTGACTGATTGAATTTATATCATAACACACTTAATTGAAAATTTACATTTTTCAAATAGTCATTATTTATGTCCGTACTACTGTAGGTTAGATTATTATATATAGATATTGTTAGTGATTTTTTTTAGTCTATAAAAAATGCACAAAATATTCATCTTTAGGAAAATTTCAAGGAAATAAAATTTATAAAACCAGAAGTCATTTTCAAAGAAATCTTAGTGACCTTTATAAAATTTTAATACTGTATGATATTTTCCCACCAACAGAAGAAGTTGCCTACCACAGCATACCATTTTGGATGGTACAGCATTTGTTGACATTACTATTCATTCTAACGGGAGTTTTCATCTCACAGGCCTAGAGACCAGTTGGTGACCCAGAGGCAAAATGCTTGGTGTGTGGTTGATCGAGGTTGCTAGCTATCACCAGGTGAAATCTGTCTCAAAGAGGGTGTCAAAAACCTCCTTTTGATTCCTTTAGTCACTAGCAAATTGTTTTGTTTGCTCATAATTTGCATTAAAGACACTGAGTTGCCTGCAAACACTTACATTTACTTTCATACTCAAATCGGAAACCGAGAATGTTTCCCTCAAAAGTAAAAGCTTTGCCTTTTGAAATGTGTTGGTTCCAGTGAGAAGGCACAACTGTTTCTTCAAATGCAAACTCTCTACATTCCCAGGTTGCATCGTATGTTTCACAATTTCACTACCACCTGGTGAGTAGTCTGCAACTGTTTGCAGACAAGTTCGTACCTTTCTTGGAAACTACTGGCAACCACCACAACCTGCTATCTACCCAAGCTCCTCAGTTTATCACAAAACTGCATGAACCTGCATGAACCAGTTGTGGAGTACACAGTTTTAACTAGTGACTGCATTTATCACCGGGTCACTAATAGATTTCTGGGCCTGTATGAAAGAGAGTTGAGCAATCAGTTGCATGCAATAGCCAACAACCTCCAGCAATGACTCACAACTGTTCCGGAATCTGCATTTTTTCCCCAACGGTTTCTGGGTAGTCACCAACAGGTCTCTAGGCCGGTGTGAATGAGGAAAACAATACACAGCAACAGGCAAATGCAAGTAGAGAAAAAAGTGGAAAATAGACAATGAATCCACCCGTTCATGACAGAACACCATTTATTAAATTAAAAATTTTAAACATAAATGACGTATGCTGACATTTAGGACAAATTGCTCTTTATGGCAACCTCAGCCAGCTGAATTTAGGGTTGTTTTAGCTTTCATTTAATTATATTGAACATAATATAAATGAAAACAATCACAGTCTGGGTCTGTTTTAAGAAAATACAGAACACTAGTGTTTAAGAGACACTGTCAACACTATAATTGGCTGGAGCTTGTGCATTTCCACAAATTTTCCACATTAAGGACATTTGGACAGCAGACGTTCATGACTTACAGTTTTGAACTAAACACAATGCACTCGGTCCTCAGAAGACTACATTTGTTTTTCAGATATATATATATTTTTTAACTCCACACTCAAGAATACACACTTGTGGCTGGATGTAATCCACCCATATGAAGACATGCACATTCTGCTTCAACATTTGCTGTTGGCTCTCCATCAAATATTGTGTTTAACACACTTTTATTTACAGGGTGTGTTTGCGATGTATGAGACCTTGTCCTTCAGTGTGTTAATGGCCACCCTGAATGGCCGCTCATCACTCAGGCACACACACACTCTCACACACACATACTTGTTGACACAGAATAGGTGTGTAGGAGTGTGTTGCTTTTCTGTCTAAATCCTTGGTGATAGATGTTAAGTATGTATGTATGTATGTGTGTGTGTGCACTGTAGGTGGCTGTCTCCCTGACCTCTAGTTGATGGCAGTGTGAGTTTTAATAGCGCATTGAGGCCTAATTATAGTTCTCTGGTCACACAGCCCCACTGCTTTATGGCAGTGTGTGCTGCTGTGTATTTTGTGTGTCGGGGCTTAGTATGTCCTACACCAGGCCTTTCCTAATAAACACGTAGTCTTGAACACATTTATACTTACAGCCAGGTGTCTGTGTGTATGAGTATGGAGGTGTTAATGGAGATATCAGATTCAGGCAGAGGGAGTAACGCACCTCACAGCACAACACAACATCAGGGCTGAAATTAAACAAAAGCCACAAAAGTCCTCCAGGATCTTTGGTGCTTGTGTTATTAAAAAAAGTGTTTTTTGTTGTTTTTTTTTTTTATTGAGGGATTTAGATGAAGCAGCCAAAAAAGCAGCCTGTATTCTTTACATGAATTAGTTTGTTTGCTGTGCAGTCTGACCTTGTCTAAAGGCCAAAGTGTTTCGAAAGGTGGAGCTAAAAGTCCCAGAGAGTGACTGGACATGAGTTGTACAAATGTAGATAATGGTGTACACTTTGAGATGGTTTCTGTTCAGTGACATTGATGATGTTAGACTAGGTTGTTTGTTCAAATTGTGTTAGAGAAACATGGGGGAAAGCTTAGGATACACTTAAAAGTTGAAGCTCCACCTGTTTTTACGCCACCAACGTTGCTAATTGCTACATGAAATTAACCTCTCTCTGAAAGCCAAACTGGAAAATACCTAGCAAAACATACCTGAGTTCACAGTATAACATTGTATTTAATTACATTGCTTTTTGTGTGTTTTTGTTTGCTATTATCAGTTCAAAACATTTTAGCTTGTGAATAAATCTACTTTGCTGCCCCCACTCTCTCCATCAGGTCATCATTCCCTCTGTATCCAGTCTATGGACGGGATGCTGATGTTCTTCGAGCAAGACAGCTACTCTTTTGGCAGGTTCCTCCCTGGTTTTCTGCTGCCTGGTCCCCTGACTTACAACCCCAGAACAGACAGCTTCCTCACTGTATCCTCTGCACGAGAGCTGGAGAGCTACAAGTAGGCTTTTTTATAATTCATTTATTTAATAACTTTTTTCATCTTGTGTTACTTGCCTGAAGACTGCAGTGTTGTAATCCCACAAATATTTGCAAGCAAGATAGCTGGGATAAAGTTACAGTATAATACTTTCACAGCTTTCAGTGAAGTCCATCACATAATAATTTCTACAACATACATCTCCAGATGCCCTCAAATGGCATCAATAGTCTTGTCTTTCATTTCTGATTGTTGGTGGCATCAGAGGAGTCCATAGTCTATGGGAGAATCCCAGCTGAGGGATTTTTGCAATACAGCTTCGAGTCCATTTTCTTCATTGCATAGACTTTGTATGTATGCACTATGAGAGGAGTAATGTTGTATGCTGGAATGTATGAAACTGATTTCTAACAGCAAGATCCTTGATATAGGCCTATATATTAGTTGCTAGAAAATACTGAAGTTTTATTCTAAGATGGAAAAAAACCCCAAGTTGCTATTAAAAAGGAATTCACATCTGTTTACAAGTAATATTTAGGCTCGAACAGTATAAACTTTCTTAAGGTTATCTGATTCACAGTCTTCAGTATCAGCTGCTGATGGTTAACGAGCAGTGCTGACTAAATCCCCACCATCCGAACACCATCTGCTCCCAGTGCAGATCTTGTCTGGATGGACCGAAACACACACACAGACGCACTTGCGCACACATGGTTTGATCGGAAAGTACCTCATTTTAATGTAAGCACATGTACACTTCACTCTGACTGCATATCGTTAAGAAGTCTTACAGACTGCGTGGGTGTACGCTGTGCATGCGTGCAGTCTTCTCTTCCAGCTGTTTGTTATCTGGGTGCCCCCCACCAGTATCAAGACACTCTCCAGACTAGATATCACAGTGGAAACCCTGACGTCACCATTCTCACTGGACACACACACACAAACACAGCCCTGCAGAGTACAGACTGCAGTAAATCAGACAGAGCTCAGCAGACGTATACAAGCTTTCCATAAATGACAGCACAGCATTACGAATGCAACAAACTTATTTCCTTTACACTGTGCATTAAACACCTCTAACCTACGTAATGTCTCTGCTATAAATAGAACTTCACATTTAGTGGAGACTTTAGAGTTTAGCCAGAACAAGACTTTGATGTGTCACAATAAATGTAAACACTAAATAGCATGCAGTCAGAGCTGTTCAGTCAGTACAGATGAGCATCATTAGCTAAAGATATGAAGTGCTACATAAATGATCAGTTGATTAGGATACCTACTAAAAAATAAAAGTTAAAAAAATTGCTAGAAGTAAAAGTGTTTTGCTCCTTGGGATACAAGTCACCAACACATACAATTTATGATTTATACTTTGCTCTTCCTGTCCCCATATTTAAGCTTGCTGCACATCCAGGAAGCCCAAGTTATCACCGTGTTTGTGTGACTAAACATTTTCATAACAAGGATCACTCTGCTTGAAGATTAATTAAATTGATATAGCATCAAAAAAATCTTTTGTGCATTAAATTTTAGAAGTGATGGCTTTAATAGAAATAATGCTTTATTTGTATGGGACTTTAGGAACTGTTAGAAGGTGCCTCACAGTTTGGATAAACATTTGAACACATACATTTGCCACATAAAGTACATAAAAACACACATCCAAGCATCCGCTCTTACATAAGCATCTCTTTCCATGTGGACTTTGGATTTGGTGATGAGCATAGAGCAGTTCCTGTTGCAGATGCACGATAAATGGTTTTCATATCACACAATAGCAGCAGGAAATGTATTAGCACTAAAACAGTGGATGCATTAATGATGCGGTTCAGGGAGAGCATTAACAAATCGCTTTTCGACTAAAATACTTTGTGATCAAGATCACTGGCATTGACGTAAGACCCTACCAATTAGCAAAATCGAATAAATAAATGGATAAAAAATGTTTATCTGTTTATTTATGCAGTCATTATGTATGGGTTAAATGTTTTTTCTTAATCCCAATTTTGATTTAGATAC